GCCACCGAGAACTTAGATCAAACCGTCAAACTCGAGCTCGACGTAACCGGTCTCGCGTGCAATTAAAGCCCCCGACAGAGTTCGAGCCCGAGGAAAAGCTCAGCTTTTCCCGCGAGCCGAAAGAGCGATGGTGATCGTGAGGAAAAGTCGCGCTACTATATCAACTCGTGATTCTCTAATTATATACAGAGAGATTCGATGCTCTTTTTTTCCTTTCTAACAACAACGGAGATATTTTACGACGATCGAAATTGAAGCACTCCATCATTACATTCCACAGAGCGAAACGAAATCGTTCGCCGTTCCTTCTTAAAAACTAAAGTACCGGTGGAAATTGCGTGAAATTCAAGAGGCTTCGGTGCCGCTTGACATATCATTGTAACGATAACCCGCACGCTCGTTAAGCACGCATGTGCGACAATGAGTTCGGCGGGGACTGAAATTTTCGCCCGCGTCGTATCGTTTTTCTCGATACGGGCGGATGCCAGCCATCGAGAACGCCGCGGTCGGGCCTCTTTCTCTTTCGTTCGTATCGCGTGGCGTATCTCCTCTTACGCACGTGACGAAAAAATTACGCGTTATTAACGTGTATATTGAACCCACGTCGTTCCCCAGTTGCACCGACGCGATCCGACGCAACAGATGCAACTACCTATGCGAGTCTCGCGAATCAAATCGATTGCGATCGCCTCAGGTGATTTTATTATTCCGCGCGGGCTTCCGGAGTGTGGAAAATATGCCGAACTTATGCTTCCTCTCGCGTGCGTCCAAACAATGAAAACTTACGGTGTCGTTCTCACGACTGCATAAGAAAAGACCTCCACTGTAATAAGAAGATTATTAATTTCATTAATAATAATGTGTGACGCCTATATTGACAATAATACATCGGTTGATACACTTTAAACACTATAATTTGATGTGTATTATGAATTAATTGCTACAATACGAATTATTGATGTCAATTAATTTAATGCATCACGTTATCGTAATGTATTAAACGCATATAATTATACATAATCGCTTTATTTAGTTATATCGCATCGAGTGATTGGCGACGTCGCGAGGCAAGGAGAGGCGGGCGGACGTTGACGTCAATCATCGCGCAAAATTAAGAACGAGCGAATCGGGGGTGATTGTCGCGGGCGGGGCAGGGGATGGTATCCGCGAAGTTACGGGGAGGTTACGGCTATCAGTTACACGCGACATTGTAAATGACGATGAAGCGAAGCGGAGGATGCATAGGCGGGCAGCGTGCAGCCGGCGACCGCAGCCGCTGCTAATGGCGCACTATCGACGTATCAATGGCGCGCTGCGGCTTGCGCATTAATAATACACGTGATTACCATCGAGCGAACTCATCCCGGGGCCGCGCGCCATGGCGTATTCATGGCGTTCGCCGTCCGTGCCCGGATGGAAACCGCCTCCTCCGCCCGCCCGATCAGAGAGAACCGGAACTGTCGCCTCTCGATAAACAATTAAAGCCATATCCCTGGAATTCCTGTGCGCTAACCCCGAGTGAATCAACTGAAAACCTGGCGGAGAATGCCCCGCGGTCAACTGTTAAGAAAACGCGTCGCGTACGTGCTCGTTATCGATTTTCGCTCGTAATTTCGAATAGCTTCGTCTTCTCTTTTTTTCATACAGTACTGTCTAAAGTCTAAATCTATTAGAATGGTTTCGCCACTAATACATTAGGTGATTACGATAGTCATTCCAAAAGAGAGGATTGCCAATTTGACTAAGGGCCGGTTGTTCCAAACCTGTTGGTAAACTAACTAATAGTTAATTCTTGTTTTTCTTTTAAATTAGACAAAGATAGACACATGAATTAATTACACTAGTTAGTTTACCAACAGGTTGGAACAACTGGTCCTAAATGCGGGCACTCTTAAGAATAGGAGCGAATTTTACTCTTTCTTAGAGTGACGAATCACTCGAAGTGCACAGGCTCAATTTTCACTTTTCGTTACACTTGCACATTCCACTCGTTTTGAGAGTGATATTTCACTCTTCGACTTTTAGAGAGTATTAATACGAGGATATTGCGTATCAAAAAGTTTTCACCTCTCGGAGATTCAAAACGTAGGATGACGTGATTAAAATTAAGATTAAGATGTAAGGCTATAGGAATCGCGTGAAAAAATGAAGAAATGTCGAGCAATATGAGATGTGAAGAGAGACACATATAGAAGATTGATGACAGGGCAATGATGTAATTGCGATGCAAATGCAATATTAGTTAGACGAGGGTCGGGCAACATTACTGGTAATCTCTTTCGCATCCCTCCAACCCCTTTCCCGCGGTTCCATCGGCACTGTGGTCGCCGGCGATTTCTGTGTTCGTGGCTGCGCAAGCTAATCGGGAGTCGCTCCTTAATTAGAAATTAGGCGGTCTCATTTGATGCCTCTCCCGCACTCTCCCCTCTCAAACTCTGGCACCGGAGAGCCGCGCTGAATTTTTCATGCGGACGAAATTAGAATCGATCGCCGGCGGCGCGGAGGCCGCGAAATTAAATCGCGGGAATAGCGCGGCGGGGAATGGACAGCGAAGGGTAGGGGAGGGGTAAAAAGTCAGCGCGGTGGTCCATCGATGGGATTTCTACGACCGCGCAATTTGCGCTCCGATTATTTATTTGTCGGCGCAATTAATGCACGTACCCGCTGCGAAAAATTTATCGATCCGCGTGTCCGTCGTAGTTTGTTTATTAACAAAACATTCATTCGTTTGCCTGTTTACTGATGGATTTATGGTATTATTTATTATCTTGGTTATCCAATTATTTATTTATAGATTTATCTATTTATTTAATTACGTGTGCGCACGCCTCTGCAGCGGCTAGCCAACTGGCCGAATTATTTTCATTTACATTTTATTCACTCAGAGAAAAAATCATAGTGATGGCAACTTTATAGGTGACAACTATACACAAGTTGTATACATAGAATTATTGTAAATAGTTAATGAACTATTTTGTAGTTATTGCAACTAAATTTATGGTAAAGAGACATAATAAATAATTATTTATTAGTTACTTTTAACCATCAATTTAGTTGCAATAACTACAAAATAGTTAATTTAACTATGTACAATAATTCTATGAATACAACTTGTATAGTTGTATTCACCTAGTTGCCATCACTATGATTTTTTCTCTGAGTGTTCCATTTATATTCATTCTTAGATTCTCTTTCTCTCGCTAAGATAATTTCGAGTCTCTATAAAAAGTGCACGTGTACATTTATCGCGAAATATCTTGTAGATCTTACAGTAATCAAATCATGAAAAGCCAGGATAAACTTAAAAGGAAAAAAAAGGAAAAAAAGAAAGAAAAAAGAAGGAATAAGTATACAAATATAGAGGAAAGTCGATCGTGAAGCACAATAGCTGTGCCATCCAGAACAATGATTTACACAGGTAAAGAGTAAAGGGGCCTGACGGGCCCCGAAATACGCGACAGCTCGCGAACAGGAACTTTCCGAAAAAGAGAGAGAAAGAAAAGGAAGGAAGGAAGACGGAGAACACGCGCGTGAGAGAAATAATTTATCGCTCTCGCTGCCTCGATCAAAATTAACTGCAAAGATCCAGTTCGCTTTAAAGACTCGTCGATCGATCGACCACGCGACCGTGCTGAATGGCATTCGCAGAGAGACGGGTAATCCCATAGGAGCTTTGTTCTGCAGGTTACTGAAATAACTTCCTGCTTTGCCGTCGACCGGAAAATTATCTCGTAATGTCTCCTGGTTTTACGAGAAGTAAATTTTCACGAGTTATATTCTCGTAGAATGATTTTTGAAGTGAAATCTTTAGGCACGGTAGTGAGTTCGATTCGCGACACGAAAAAGTGTAACGGAAGTGAAACTTCTTTGGTACGGTAGTAAGTTCAATTGTGCGACACGAAAAGTGTAACGAAAATTTGACCAATAGGCGTACGAAATGAAACTTCTTTGGTACGGTAGTAAGTTCGATTGTGCGACACGAAAAAACGTCACGAAATAGTGTCACGAAAATTCGACCAACAGGCGTACAAAGTGAAACTCCTTTTGGATCGGTAAGTAAATTCGATTTTGCGACTCGAAAACGCGTCATGAAAATTCGATCAGGCGTACGGCACTGGCGAGATGGATATATTGAGAACTGCGTGTAACACTATATTTTCGAGTTGCGGGCGGCTTGGAGTGACTAATTCCGTTGCATTGTTTTTGTATTAATTTCAGAAAAGTTATAACAAAGCCTTGCCTTCAGAAGTTTCACTTCTATCGCACGTGGCGACCACGCGTTCATTTTTTTTTGTGAAATAAAATTTCCTAGTATTATAATGATGTATTTTCGGAAGCGTAATTCTGCAGAGAATTTTTCGTTCTTGATTCTTCATTAATTTTTCCGAAACTTCGTTGAGAATATAGAATAAAATAGGGATATATAGAGAAGAATAAAGGAAGGGGGAGGCTTTTTCAGACACGGATTGGAAAATAGGATTTTTCGGACGGCAACAATTCGAGATGGATCTCCTAAGAATCTTTCTGAAAAGCGGACTCGGGGAAGAATCTCGCGTTCGTGATCTACGTGAGTTTTGATTGCCCGGCGATTAAAAGTTTCCGTGTCGTTCGAGACGCTCGTATACGAGAGATCGAGCGTTGCGTGAGAGAGCGATACTCTTCCGCGAGAATCCAGGAAAATCCGCGAAGAGTGGAAATACCTCTGAGACGCCCGCCCTATCGAAACATCGCAAACACACATCGGAGACTTAAAGACAATCCAAAAACTTTAGATTAAAATCGAGCGAATTAATTAAATTCAAATTAATTCGATTCGTTTTACTTCGAGAAATTATCGCACCTGTCTCGATTATGATTTGGGGGGACTCGAGAGAACTTCCGCGGGAGGAATGGAAAAAAAAATACCTCGACCTCGATAGGAGAATTCACCTGTCCGAAAATCTCTATGCTGAGATTTATCTTCCGCGTGTCCTCGAGTACGAGCGTTTAGAAAAGGATACATCTCTTGGAAGAAGTCCAGATGCGGCGGCTGAAGGATATCCAGCGCAGAAAGGACCTGCAAAAGAGACAGGAAGAGATTGAGTGTCCTGTCCTTTGACTGGACGAAAGAGAGAAAGAGAGAGATAGAGAGAAAGAGAGCGCGCGATTGATCCCGCTTTTTTTTCATGCAAAAAGTGGGATCCAGCAGAAGACTGCGAGGGGGAGGACACGCAGCCTCGTCCTCGGGGAAATAAAACGCGGAGATTTCCGAGACACCCATCGTGCAATTTATATACGATCCATCTCGTGTATTCGTCCAGATATTCAATGCCAAACAGTATATTTGTTTACAGCGAAGCGTATGAAACAAAAAATCTCTATCCCTATATATATTTTATCATTATATATACAGCAATAATTTATTAAATAATTCTTCATAAAATATTATAAAATAGTAATATACATTAAGCTTAAATGTGCTAAAAAATCTGCTAATGTCTAAAAAAATCAATTTTAAATTTATTGTAAAAGAAAGATAAGTATACAAGATTCACGATTTTATTTTTCAATGAAATTATATACAATTATTATATGCAATGGCATAATATTTATTATAGTCGTAATGTGCAATAAATAATCGTATAAAATATTCGACAAATGTAGAAACTCGATATCGGCTTCATTTATTTTTGGCAGAATTACAGCTTTTTTACTTTCACGCTTGTCTCTATTGGCATTTTTCTGTCTTTTTCTGTATTTGTTCATCGATCACGCACTTGTTCGACGCGACAAATGTAACATCACTCACGTTATCGTGTTTGAAGAAGCAAAGCATTTTCAACTCCCTGAAGACTCGCTTGCTGCTCACGAGACTTTGAAAGACGTTCGGCAGTTTTTTTAAGGCTACTCTCCTACCATCCCTCGGATCCGTGACAGCCCTGGAAATCACAGAAATAACAAAATTTACAATTATATGTTCTTCCATCTTGTTGATCGATGTAACTACTAAAGATATATTTTGATAGCAAAGAAATACACCCAGTGAACAAGACGTCCTAAAGATGTCTGAAAGACATTGTCGTATAGACGTCTATAAGACATTATTTTAAAACGTTTTTAAGACCTCTTTTAGACATACATGTTGTCTGGGTATAGTTAAAAAAAAATACTAAAGAGAGAAGAGCTAGCGTTGCTTGTAGTAATTAAATATATACTACTAACTTGATACACCCGTGCTTCGTTACGGTATATATGGAAGGATTCTATAATTCACCCCCAAATTTAGATTTGCCCCTTTAGGGGTTGATTAAGGCAAAATCTTGAATGACGTTTTTAAGCACTTGTATGGGTAACCTTTGTAAGCAAAAATCAAGTCGATATCTCAACGGACCCAAGAAATATTGAGAAAGTCGTGAATACACATTTTACTCCTTTTCACCTCCTTAGAAGTCGAATTTCTAAAAATCCCTTCTTAGTGAGTGCTTACGTCATGGCAGGAATATACTCCTCGAATTTCATGTTTCTAGGTTTAGAGGTTTGGGCTGGGCGTTGATATAAGTTAGTCGGATAATAATGTATATATATATATAATATATAGATTAATCTAAAAATATGTCACTTCATTATAAGAGTGAACACCACGATATAACTAATACATATTGTGCCGTACTTTATAACCATACTTTATATACCATCGCTCATCGTATTTTACGTGAAACGGATTCCATCCGAAGTCATCTATCGGTCGCATGAATAACGTGTCTTTAAGACGTCTTAAGGCATCTTACACTGAGAAAAAAATTTTGTTAATCCCAAAAAATATTTAGTCCAATACGAGCAACTAAACATTAGTTGTTTCAACAATTATTAAGTTACACTAAAAAAGGTATAGTTCATTCATGTCAACTTTTAAAATTTTTTAATCAAGAATTAATTAATTCAAATGTTTAGTTAAACTAACTGAAATGTTTAGTTGCTCGTATCAAACTAAATATTTTTTGGGATTAATAAAATTTTTTTCTCAGTGCAAATAAAACGTCTTAAAGAGATTCGCCTATTAGTCGAAAGTCAACTTAGAGTCTTAATTTTTTTATATGATTTACATAAACACTTTACACAAATAATCCCAAAAGTTGAGCAATATTAACCGTATAGTTTTTTTGTAATATTATTCAGAAGTTGACCACTTTGACCCTTGATCACTGATTTAGTACACACTTAGCCAACTTAGAACTTTGAAAAACTAGCATTTGACAGATGAAACATCAAAGATTGCATAAAAACTTAAAAAATAGAATTTTACCGTGTGGATTTAAAGCTTTACTGTCACAAAGTTTACTTTTACCTCGTAGATCAAATTAGTAATGAGTTAATGACAGACGTTGCCATTGAGAACGCAACAGCTGATGCGAACCCAACATCACAAACAGTATTTAACCACTAATCATGAGTTCACGATACGCAATCATCAATGTATTAATCATTTTAAGTCTTTAGTATTCTCTGACAATTGTTCATTAGGTTTTTATAAATTATTTGTGATTTTTCTTTTACTTTATAATGTTGGATATAATAAGTATTTGACAACGATTCCCGAGTCGTTGACGCTCTCATACTTCGGCATATATTTGTTAATATTCTATACACTAATAAATTTACGAAGAATATAGCACATAACTAGCATCCACAATTCATTATACCAATATTGCATATAATTCGGGATCGCTGTAATGACATTATTATTCAATTGCATTTTTGACAAAATGGTAAGTGAACCTCCTTAAAGACGTCTTAAAAAGATCTTAAAGACGTCTTTTGGTAACGTAATTAACATAATTATATGTTCGGTATAGTTAAACGGCCTGACTGGCAAGTTTTATTAAGCATATCACAACGACGTTCATTCTTTTATTCCAGCATTGTTAAAATAACTTGAAAAGGACCCAAAATAGTGGTCGAAACGTCGTTGCGATATGCTTAATAAAACTTGCCAGTCAGGCCGTTTAACTATACCGAATTATTTCATCACTGGCGAATAACTTTTATTGAATACATAATTATATGTATATCACGATCGTTATTAATAAAAATTAATATATGTTTTCATTTAAATCTAGAAATATATTTATATCTATCTGTGTTGCATATTATTTTTTATATCAATAAGCGAGTGTGATCATCGCCGATTGTGAAATCGTTTTCACTGCCCTCCTTCCTTTCGTCCCCTGCAAAAACGGGAATTACTTTATCTATCTACGCGCATCAGATGATATGGCACATGACCGAAAATGGGATTTCGGCAGCATCGAGCGCTCTCCGTCTTTCTCTCTCTCTCTCTTTCTCTCTCTCTCTCTCTCTCTCTCTCTCTTTGGATCTCTCTGCTTCTCCCTTCAATTCTCGTGAATCGAAATCGTCGGTTTTGCGGTAACGACAACACTCGACAATGAAATCGAACCCGTAGCCGTAAACGGACTAATTGCTGGGATAATAATTATTCTCGGAACTGGCCTAGGGCTGGGAGAGACCGATGGAGGAGAGAGAGAAAGAGAGAGAGGGATAGATTATCGTTCGCTTGTGTTTCCGGGGTTATCAGTTCCTGGACATTATTTAGCTGATCATTTGCCAATATTCCCCGAATCCCTTCTCTTGAATTAAATTCGCGATCAATATCGTTCATCTTTTCCTTCTTTCAGATAGTATTTATAATTGGAATAAGATGATATTTGGATGTAAGACACTTTAAACATAATTCGGTTTTCTTTTTCTTCTTGCTTTGCGCGGATAACTTGGCGTCTCTATATAAGCTTTATAAAATATTTTGTTACACACAATAGTGGATAAATGGAGTAGCCTATATACTACTATTTATAAATAAATATATAAATAAAAACAAAATAAAACAAGAAAACAAAGTAATAAGATAATAATGAAGCAAAAGAAGAGGAGAGTGATTTATCGTCTGGCATAATTACACTTGTCAGTTATAACGAAACTATACGTGATTGCTATCCAATCACTTTTCTCTTGTACGAGTTGTACGAGAACATGTATGATAACGTTAATGAACATAATACAGTAAATGCAGAGACATAGTTCTATCTAAGGCGAAAAATGTACATAAATTCATGCGAATATTACTGCACAGCCCGACGGCATAAGGCTTATTTCTATCTACTTGTATATATTGACTTCTTTAATCAATAAAAATTAAAAGTATAGAAATTAAAACGGAGTTAGGAACATATTTCTAAATATAATTTACTATCATACAGTAGCGACTGTTAAGTTTTTATGAATAATTATCACTGTTATTATTAATTAATTCTTATACATTATTACTGCTAATAACGGCTAATTCAGCAGCCGTTCGAGCATTGATGCTTTATACCGCGGTTTTATATAAGGTTTTATGTAGGATAAACGGGAATGACAAATCTCTCGTACTAATCAGGTCGAAGTCGTTAACTTCGTTATGGCACGCTAAATCGATTCGTTCGCACGAGACGGCCGACTCTCGTGTAGATTTGCGCGACACATTTATGGACCGGGACTCGACAAAATAAACGAGACTGTCGATGAACGAGCCAAAACGGGCCCATTATCTCGAGTGTCGTCTCTTCAAGTCCCACTCATATGTACTTTCCAACCGGTCAGATCTGTTCGTTGCGCCATCCGCTATGATTTCGCGACGGTCGAATCAAAGAGACAAAAAAATTATGGAAGTTCCTGCATGCGTTTGTGAATTTTTGACTCGTAAGGAGGACAATGTAATGTATAGACAGATAGATATGAATTTATTTATCTTATAAAGAAAGTCTTTTACAATGGCATGAAAAGTTGGTAGAAAGCGTACAAGAACGAAATAACTGTATCTCATTATGATGAAAATAATGAAAGGAAAACAGATAAAGAATAACCGAGATTGATTATAATTATTGTCATTGTTGTCATTAGTAATGTTAACTTGTATTTCGATTTAATTTATTTACTATAATTAATGATATTTACAAAGCGCTCAAGTCTGAAAGCTCAAATAAATATTTCAAAATATTGAACGTTATTGCATATGTTAAATATTATATACATAAATTAATTAATTAAATTCTAATTACCCGATGATACCCTGGCAGAATGCCAATTTTCAGCTTAACCGAGAAACTATTCCACAAATGGAGGGTTGAGCTCCACGAAAAAAAAAAAGGTAAAAGTTCTAATTTTCAAGACACAAATAACAAGATTGAAACTTTCCTTGACAAAAGTTCCTAAATTTATCATCAATAACGCGGGTTTCCTGAAAGGTTTTTGGACGAGAGTATATCTTCGATTCGATTCACCTGGCGAAAATTAGCGTACGAGAACGTTAATTACATCATCGAGCTTCTTCGAATAGCCGGATTGAAGGGGGGAGAGATGGGAAGAGAGGGGAGGCGAGAGGGGGAGAAAAAAGAGGTGAACGAGCCGTCGCAAACCGGCGAGAGATTAAGGTCGATCCACGAAGCCGAGCGAGTCACGAACGTAGAAAGGTACGACGACCTTCGAAAAGGGTCAACGCACCCGCCGCGCCGCGCGGTGCGTCAAGCGTAGTAGGCGGAAGTGAAGTCACGAATTTCGGAGCGGAACGACCGTGAAATGATGCATGGGGAGAGGCGGGAGGGGGCGGGGGGCGCGCAGCGCGCCCCCGGGGACCCCACTGTCGCGGTTTAGACAATGTTTATTCATTCGAAATCCCGACGAACCGACGACGACGAGACCGCTTCTATTACTATACGCACACGCGTAACGCTCGCCGATGGTCTCACCACCGGAAGCTGGAAAAAGGGGGGGGAAGGTATTGCCGCGGAACGGGACATTACCATATCTATTTTAGGTAAAAAAAAATAAGCTGCTGATAGAGACGAATTTCGTGCGGCGTGTCGCGTAGACGTCATTGTTGCATAAGCAGCTGCATCAAATTTTCATGAAGCCGATTTATCGGACTGTCGCAATCGGGGTTGCGAATTGTGGAACATTTTGCCTGTCGCGGGTCGTTTTGAAGAAAAAATACTTAAAAAATAAAAGAACGAACTGATACTACGTTTACGCGAGTGTTACTTCTGTAGTAACTTATGATAATTTACTCGTTTACGCGGAGTAAATTATCGTAAGTTACTATAAAATCCCGTTTACGCGAAGAAATTCTCGCGTAAACGTATAGTATTAGTCCCTGGGGAACCTAATAAGTCCCCTTAATTGAAAATTAATCAACGTTCGGCTTATTTTCAATTTGTTTTCTACTTACGTTGTGTCAATGTATTGTGTTCTTAAATTCTGCAATATCTTATCTATCACCCCTGTTTAACTAATGTTATGGCTGAAGAAGACTCGGTGTAGTCGAAACGTACCAATTTATTTTTAAGTTAATTATTATTTAACAACTATCGTTGCTCGTTTATTGGCCTTTTTCATATCAGTATGAAAAATAACGTTAGTATTGGCGAAAAGATATTTCTTAGATTCATAGTGTGAGATTCGCTCAGAGA